TTTTAACTTTCATATTCTTTATTAAATGTGTCCAAAAACTTCTATTTTCAGCTTATCAAACATAATTAATTTTCATAATTTTAATTGTAAAAATATAGTAAATAATAATTCATGAGATATTCTTCTTCCTCAAACAAATTTTGTTTGCGGAATTGGAGATGGAAAAAAAAATAACAAGTTTAAAAAAAAGTTTCTCATTTCCAAAATATTTCACTAAATTTTCCAAAAAAATTTTTTTTCGGCACCTTTATGTTAAAACAAAATTTTGATAAATCTGTTAAAAATACAGTTTTATCTCGGAACACCTTGTTTTCCTAAGATTGAATAATAAATGCGTAAATGGTAGCTAATTTGAAATCAGTATCCATCTTTTTTTATTTTCATTTTGAATAAAACATCATCATAAGAGAATTAGAGAAAAATATAGCCCATTAAAGAAATATCCTTCTATATTAAAGAAACGATCAGTAACTTTGAAAATAACGCAATTACCAATTTATTTGGTTTCAAATATAATAATCCACTCAAGGAATTAAATGGTATTTTCTCGAATTTCCCAATGCTCTGATATATAGGTTCTAAATTAAAATAACAATACACGGAATATTTTTAAATAAAAGCGTTCTGAATATTTTTAGATGAAAAAAGTTCTGAAGAATTAAAAAAAAAGGAGAAGAAAAAATGCCACATGGCAAGAATAATGGACGATAAAAATGGCTTCTACATTTGTGCATATTCATAGCAAAACATATCTTCTCGCTGCAGTTCTTAGGCACTTGTAATCTTAGTTTATGAAAATGGATGAAACATTTTAATAATAATGGTCTTTTGCCAGAATATTAACTGAATCACTAGTTAAATACATGAGAAAGAAGGAAAATAGCTAATTTCATAATAATATGTAGTTAACTCCCTCACATCCAATCCGCCCCATACAGCCCTACATTGAAACAACCAGAACCGCCCGAAAATGGCAGAGAATCTTTTTTTCTTTCCTCCCCCTAAGATATGCAGTAGCAGGCACAGTTTTCCCAAATGCATTGTATCAGTTTACCGCAGACAGCTTGTCCTAAGATGTTTCTTATCTTTTGACTGATCGCGACATTTCGTTGTTGATTCTTTTGTGGTACAGTGTGCTTTTAAGCTTTAAACAGGAATAAAAGAGTCATTTAAAATTTTAATTTTATATTTATTTTTAAAGAATTTATTCCTTCCCATAAAAATAACGAAAATAAACAAAATCTCAGTCGTGATCATAAAGAAAGCCAGAAAAGAAAGGCTGTTGGTATGACCTTAAGAATAGTTTTATAAAGAACAGGGTCAAAGGCTAATGGAATCTTTCTTAGAAAGTACAAAGGATGTCATTGGAAATCTTCACACCTATTTTCTGAGTTAATAGACAGGGAGAAAAGGAAATTGCTGTGAAATTGGAAAACTATTTCGGTCGGTTCGGTATTTTGAGAGTACAAGTTAGTAAAGGGTCTGGATTTCAAAGAGTTAATGTAATGGAGAAACTTTTCATTAAATAAGTCATCTTTCATAAAGTGATAATTAAAATTATTTCTCCCGATATACTTAAACTACTTTCCAACTTGATATAATTACTACATCATTATACTTCTTTCAAAAAACTATTGATTAAATTTTTACATTAATAAATTACATTCGTAAATCTAACTTTTTCACTACAATAAAAACTGAAAAGCTAATCAACACTTTTTGCAATCTTCACCAAAAATTCTCTATTCATATTTTCCCTTTGATTAATTCTCAAAAATAATCACAAAAAAATGGACACTGCATTGATCTTTTCCGCCTGTTATTCGTTATTTTGATTTCAGAATGCATAGGTCTGTAAGGTGAAGTCCATTTTTTGGGGAAGGGCGTGGCTGTTTTAGTTGCAAAGTTATCTAAAGCTCGAAGACATGTACGCAAAACCTGCAAATCAGAAAATTAACATTTAATTTGATAGTTTCTTGGTATGTTAAAGGTGAAGGGATCCTGAAAAACTTATGCTATGAATATTGTTTTCACTGGGCTTTCTTAACTTACGAAGTAAAGTGGAAGTGTTATTTCTGGCCGTTAGAAGAAAATTACGAATTCCTACAACAAAATCCAAATAATTTGCTTAGACTGGGAGAATAGCTTCTTTACTTACTTCTGGAAAAAAAGGAGGCATTTAAACAAAGTACCTGTGGTTTAAAAGACATGGCTGAAAACAAAATACATTGAATCATTGATGCGCTATTTCCCAAGCATTCCCATTTTTCACACACTGTCACAACATCCTTAGCACTGTACATCAATTGTGAATTTTTAACGAAAATATCTTTTAGCAAATTACTATTTGAATGCTAATCTTAAACAGCTGTTTCAATTTGAAATTTCTATTCTGTATGATGTAATTTTTTCATTCGGTCTTAGGATAAAAGTCTCAAGGCAACCCAAAATGCTAGGCTTGATTAAAATTGCAAAGCAGTTACGTGGCTGCTTTAGACATTTAATTTTATCAGTTTTCAGAGTTTCACATAACTTCTATCTTCAGTAATAATATTACAGTATTTTTCAGAGGTAGGGAAAAAAAAAATCACTATAATCCATTTTAGTTACGACACTGAAAATAAACTAATTGGGCGATGATTTTATATGGAAAGAAAATTTCTACAACGTGAATTAGTTGAAAAAGTATTTTCAAAACTTTCCTTACTTATGCTTTAAAATAATATAGATGATGCCTCAGCTTGTTTTTAAACAAATGGGCAAGAGTAAGTCCTTCTGCAACCATTTACCAATTTGCAAATAAAATACAAAAACTGTAGAGGAATTAATTCCAATTTTTATTAAATTATTCAGCTACATCGTACCTTTCGCAGTGCTTGCTTTATATTGAATTAGCACTAATTCGCAAAATGCATAAAATTTGCATGTTCATTTTCAGTATTATCCTAACTTAAGGAAAATCGGATCATTCAATGTAATTTGTAAGCATAACATGCACTGATAGTTAAATACACAAATTCTGAGCTTTTAAGATTCTTTTAATTTCCATTGAAGTCTTTGGTCAACTCGAGAAAGCTAACCTAAAAATTTCTAAATTTCATTAAATACTGGTTAATCTTCAATTCTATCAAAAATAATTTCTTAAAATTCAACATTAAATCACTTCTTATATTGGATGGTTGTCATGGGAAAAGACTACCAAAAAATGCCTGTATCAGGAAAAAATTTCCCTTTACGCAGATGCAGTAATTCAAACACAGATTATAAATAAATTCATATTCTAAATAGTAGACTTTTTAATTAAAATCTTTTCTCCCTCCCCAACACAGTCTACTTGCCTGGTTGTAGATGTAAATTTTTATTTTAAATTAGGCAAAACAGCAACCTTATTCTGATATAGGTTTTGAATAAAACTCTAGTGTAACAATCTAGACGACAATCAGATGACACAGATCCTTTTTCTTCAGAACCAAAAATTCTTAGCATAAAACTGAGAAAATGTTTTTGCTCCTGCAGAAGAGAGACTTTGCCAGATCCCCTTTGAAATCACTTGAGTTTCATTCAAAATCTATGCCAAAATAAGCTGCTGTTTCACCTAAATTTAAATTTTACATTGGCATGTTTCTCTTCTGATTTGAGTAACATATAAACGTTTTCTTTTTCTGTCTTGCACATAAATATTTGCGTATGCAATTTCATTTCAGTAGATTCAGTTATAAATCAACTGGTTATAACAATAGGTTAGTTATAACAACTATTCAGTTGTAACTAAATATGTTATAACAACTATTCAGTTGTAACTAAATATATAACGCCTTTAGAAATATCGATAAAAATTTACTTAAATTCAAATAATGCAATACACAATCAAAAATGATTAAATTAAATATTTTAATGCAATCGTAAGTTTATCAAATGTGCTGTTTGATGAAATTTTTAACGTTAATTGTTTTAAGTTAGCACTGAAAAATTCAAAGAAATTTTTTTATGCTTGTCTTAATGCATCTAGGGAACCTAATCAAAGAAAATCTACAAATTTTCTGCTTTTTAAAAATATAATTTTTACAGGACTTTGAAGTTTTATTTTAAAATATTTTTACTGTGTCTAGCTAGTGAATTTTTACATGTACTTGGTAAGTATAACATCTTGTCCCAAATGCAGTACTTTCATCAAATATGTAAATTTAACTTTCAATTTATGATTTCCCTGCAGAAATACTTCAGTGACATTTCATGATGATAAATTACTAAATAAGTCAAGTTATGATTCTATGATGCCTATCAAAATTAAATTATTAAATTCACTTAATACATACTTAATACTACAGCATAGTAGATGTTAATGTAAGCATTTGTTAAATCTTATTTTCTTGCTCAATTATTCTAACAGTCTTCCTTCAAATAATTTAACATGCTACTGAATTTTTTTTAAACTTAAAACAATATGCATTCAAAAATATTGCTTTCTATTCATTGCAAATATTTATTACACATCATTTCCTGTAAATATGTTATAATTACTTGCAAAAAAACTTGCATTTCATTTTTTGAACAGTTATGATTGATTTAATAATTGCTAATGAGAAAAGTACATTTAATGTTTCATTTGATAAGTGTTGTATACCATTTCTCTTACCTGTATTGTTTCACATTTCCTGATATCCATTGCAAATAGGTTACAATTCATTTCATTACTAAAAAAAAAACTTAAATTTTATAACAATAAAAAAATTCCTTTTTTTATTCCCCGATATTGAAATATGTCTAAGTTATGTATTTCTAGTTCATAAACCTTTCTTTTTAGGCTAATACTTAAGAAATATTTTTAAAATACTTAAAGTACTGAATATCTATTTTAAAATTTTGACCTGATCAAAATAGCAACTAACGCATTAAAAGAACCAAAGTGTATTACTGATAATTTAGAATTACATTCCAAGCCATTCTAAGACAAAAACTTAAAAGAAGGTAAAAATTCCAATAACGAAACAAGAGCCAAATTAATGCTGCATTTACTTTTTATTAAGTCACTGTACAAAACTTCTATATAACATCACTGTACAGACATAAAATAACTTTTTACAAATATTTGTACAGGATGACTTGTACAGATGACAGCCAGCTTTATGGAAACCCAGAAAGAAAAGAACAGTAACCCTACAGTAGTAGTTAATGGCAAAGAAATTAGAATTAACATAGTCTACCCTACAGTAGTAGTTAATGGCAAAGAAATTAGAATTAACATAGTCTAGAAAACATACAGACAGATAATTTCTTGCTACCTGGCAAAAATACAGATTGCAGTATACTTCTCATTTACAAATGACATCGTAAAAATGCTATCCCCCAGATTTTTTACATATATATTTAAAATTGTACTGTAAATACTCAACAATTAAATATGTTACAATGCCTTTAAAAATAGGACTTTGTCAAAAAATTTTTTTTGTCCAAGGGATATGTGAAGTGGCACATCGATTGTCATTTATGAATAAGATTATATACATATGGAACTTGATAGTAAATAGTTAATATAATCAAGCATAAGAAAGTTTCTTTTGCACCACAGTAATTATAAAACACTCATAAAATAAGTAACAAACATATCTATCAGCTGAGAAAAACCATGATTAAAATTAAAAAAGAATAAATACTTTGAAAACATTTAAAAAAAAAAAGCATTTAGATATAATATATTATCTGCCTGGCTATTAAAATAAATAGGATTCTTAAAAATTTTACTAGAATCAACAATTAATCATTAGAATGAGATGAATTACATTTAGAATTACAGCAAGGGAAAGTAAAACAAACAATATGCATTTCAGAAAGAATTTATGCCAGAGAAAAATCTAGAATTGCAACAAGATTCCTAGCTAGTTATTAAATGCACAAGTATACTTAATTCGTAACAAAGCTTTTAAAATGGTGCTACAAAAACATTTCTTTAGCAATTTTTATCAACATACAAAATAGAAAAGCAGAGTGCAGATTAGAGTAAAGAGATTTAAGAAAACTAAAATGGCCTGTCTTGTAATCTTGTAAGCTCAACTCTTAACAGGGAGAGAGCTTGCATTTAGGTGGGCATTTTATGATCACAGTGGTTTCAACAGTTCGTTCACGCCATTCTCACTACTGTAGTTTAAAAAAAAAAAAAAAAAAAAAAAAAAAAGAGAGAGAGAAGTCCAAAAAGAAAAAAAAAAAAAAATCTTTTTTCAAAAATAAATTCGGACGGTGGAAAAAAGTCAACTTTTCTAGTTCATTCCAGGTTGACATCTAGTTGGCAGTCTGATGTTGATAATGCTGGGCAACTTATTCGACGGAAAGCCAACGGCGTTGGAATATTTTTTCGTTATAACCGATGGTCCCGCAAAAAAATTCCCCATAAAAATATCATTGCAATACATAAAATGAATTCTACTTACAACAATGATTGCTTTGATATTAAAAATTTTAAGGTATATAATACATGAGAACATAACATGTTTACCTCTTTTAAATCCATTTTTTAAATACTCCAAAAAGAAAAAGGAAAAAAAATAAGATCACATTGCTAGAAGCGTCACCAAGACGCGTTGTATTTTGGCTGGAGACGTGGACATTAAAACCCTTTTTTCCTGGTTTTACTGCTGCTGTTTCCCATAAAAAAAAGATTCTTTAGCTGGAAACGTAGGCGGCAAACTGTTCCATTCCTCGATTTCTAGAATCCGAAACAAAACTATCCCAGTGGTGATTACCGCGGGCACTCTCTTTACAACCAGGATACCTGCTGTCGGAAATGGGAGAATACGAGCTATGGTTGGTACTAGGATGGTGGTATTGGTACCTGTTTACATCGGCTGAAAACTGATTCTTGGTACCATCGTAGAGAACACAAATGCTGCCGTTTTCGCCAATCCTGTAGGACACTTCTTGGGGATCTATCCACATGGTCAGCTCATTGGGCAACAGCTTCCTCAAATCTGCTTCGTTAAATCCGCACACGTCACCAGCTTTTGCGATTAAAGGGTCCATTTTGTGATTGATCCGCAAACAACGGTATCCGGAACCTTTGCAAGGTTTTTCGGGGAACCAATGGTGTTGGTAATGGTGCCTGAGAAGTTCCTCTAAGGTGCGTCGGAACATTTCCACCCTTGCAATTTTCACATGTCGATTTTCTAACCTTAAAAGGTTCGCTAAGAACGTCGATGCGCTTTCGATCTCCATGCCGTCGACGTAATGTTTATTTCGTACGTTGTTGTTCGAAATTATATATCAAAGAAGCAATCACTCGTATCACTCCAGATTGCGTTCTGTTTTTATTTCGATCTCTCACACACACAAAAACAAGCTGCTACTACTGACTAGCCGAGATTTTAAATATGGCGTCGTCCTCGAAGAACTTCGAATGTGGCACGATGACTATTTAATACAAAAAGGATGAGATGTCTGAGACTCTTTGGGTAAAGACGAAGTTTGAACAAAAATGTAGAAAAGCTAAATTATCACAGCAATGTCCACACACTCCGGATGGTAAACCTTTTTCAGCTAGGGACGCCTGCCCCGCTTTCCGTTCGAGTTCTAACCTCCTTGAACGCACTGTAGACACTAACTTATATTCTCGTATAGCTTCAGTTCTATCACGAAATCTGCTAACGTCAACAAGAGCGTGACGTCATGCGCCAACCAATAGAAATCGACTGCTGTGCCACGACTCAGAATGAGGTGAGCTCTTATTGGTTGTGACTGTGAGAGCGGTGGTGGGGTGACAACTGTGGCTGTGCAATGATCTGTATACATCAGCTGTATAACTAAAAGGTTTATTTAAGCTCAGAGGTAGGCAAAAACTGGTTCCGTGGCTACGCATAGGAAGTGCAATTAAAATCGAAATCAGTTTGAGCCTATGAAATGTTTTTCTCATTTCTGCCTTGTTATTTATTTGGGTGCATTCGAAGTCAGCCACAATAAGTAAAAGAAAATGTATTTGATAAGTATAATAATTTCCATAATTGATAATTTAGCCCATAGATTTTCTTCTCAAATAATACATGGGTTATATCAAAAAATGAACATCAACAAATCGAAGAGAGAATTTACTTCCGTATCAAATGAAAAATATTTCAATATTATTCGCTGCTGCTTTAATTTGTATAAAATTGAAGTTCGGATTATTTGTGATCGATTGCATATCATGTTTTCTCTTCGATTTATCTTCTCATTTTATCTTCCAAAAATTATTAGCATATGCTTTTTTATAGATGTATCCAATTTCATTCTACTATTAATTACTAAAAATAAATATAAAAAGCTTTTTAACATAGTAGCCAAAAATTTGTTTACGTAATTAAAATATAAAAATTTGATGTTACACTACATGACTTCCTTGTACGGAATATTAAATTATACGCATTTTTTCTTGCATTTCATTTAAACTTGGCGCTAGATTCACTTAACAGTATTAATAATTATGTAACAGTTAACTTATATAATAATTATATAACGAAAACTAAGTTAACTGTTATATAATCCAATAATTATATAACAGTTAACGTATATATTTCGTTCATATTATAACTCATAATGCACAAAATTTATATCATTTAAAGAATAGAATTATCTAATCGTTGCCACATGTTCTATTCAAATACTGTAATAAAGCCAGAATGATGTATAAAAGAAATTAAGCAAACAAAACAAAAAAGAAACAGTTTTTCACAGAGGATTGAGTATTTCTCATTTAATTAATTCAGTTCTCACTTCGCGAGAAGGCAAAAATACATAAAAACTCAAAATATCTATATTAAAAATTACGAAGTAAATCTTAAGCATTTATTTCCTCGAAAAAATTCCAGAAAGAATTAAGCATGATTTAATTGGCAATAATAAATGAAGGCGTTACTTTTGTTGTTGGAAGCTAAGTTTTTCTAGATTGGCAACAAATCCACTAGTCTCCTGTTTCAAATGTAAACATCAATTGCCGCCATAAAAAAATCTGATGTGTACACCACATGACTTCCTTGTACGGAATATTAAATTATACGCATTTTTTCTTGAATTCATTTAAATTGATTGGAATGAATTAAATCTACTTCGTTGACAGCGCATAAACCACAATAGAATAAATGCACTCTTTAAAATTCACTATATTTGTTTAATATAACGACACTCTGAATGCACAAAATTTATATCATTTGAAGAATTATCGTTGCCACATGTTCTATTCAAATACTATAATAAAGCTAAAACGATCTATGAAAGAAGTTAAGAAAACAAAACAGAAAAGAAACAGTTTTTCACAGACGATTTAGTATTTCTCATTTAATTAATTCAGCTCTCACTTCGCGACAAGGTAAAAATACATAAAAACTCAAAATATCTATATTAAAAATTACGAAGTAAATCTTAAACACTTATTTCCTCGAAAAAATTTCAGAAAGGATTAAGCATGATTTAATTCGCAATAATAAATGAAGGCGTTATTTTTGTGCTACGAAGCTTAGTCTCTCTAGATTGGCAACAAATCTAATATTCTGCTGTTTCAAATGTAAACAAATATGTCGGCCATGTTATTTAAAACTTAACCGCACTTAAACAGCTTTTAAATTTTGGATAATTGTACAAATATTGCTTGCAGAATTACGAAAGGCATAAAAACCTTAACCGGAAGATAAAAACAACATAATTCAATCATTTTTTAAAGCAAAAAATGTACAGTTTACAAACATATAAGAGTAAAGATACTGAGATCACTGAGCCGGGTAACAGAGTGGATATATATATATATAAATATATTTATTATACGTTTGGTGCGACCGATTGCAACCAAAATATGAGGTGCACATCTACATGTTATAGAAGTCCTATATACAAAATTTTTTTAACGTTCTGAGGCTACTCGTTTTTGAGTTATGCGAGATACGTACGTACATACGTTCGTACAGACGCCACGAAAAATTCTCTTCAGAATTAATTTTAAAGCAGTTTTATAATTTTTTGGAGGAAAGGTGTCTTTTATTCTGTCCTTACGCACAGATATCAAGCAAAAACATCGTTAAATTGCATTCGATAGCGGTCAAAATGGATATTTTCGTTGAACTATGTTGCCTGAAACTTTTCGCGATTACAATACTTCCTTTTTACTTCGTACAAGGAAGTAAAAAGGAACAACTGTTTACATTCTGAAAATGCTTTAACAGAAGGATTAAAGAAACCAAATTATTTAATTCCTAGTTTAAGAAGAATCCCTCACCTGCTCACATACACATACCGGGAATTCACAGTTCGAAACTTCAGCTTATTCATTTTCTGTAGTCTATTGTAACTTGTTGTAAAGCTACTTAATTACAAAGCTTTCGAAAATAATGCAAAGTTCGCTGGAAGCTTCTAAAATTTTGTGTTTGTAGTTAGCGTTAAGCACACTTTTCACTCTTGCAGCTTACGATTTTTTTTTTTTTTTAAATTCACTGCTTTCTATTCTAAATATTACAAAACCTCAAACTATTACATTAATTTTAGCACTTTAGCTATTCACAACAAGCTATTATTTTTTTATTTTCATTATGAATTGCAAGAAATAAATACATTAAACTCTTCAACGAATTCTTTGAGCGGTACTTTTCCCACCTCGCCGCACAATAAGTATGACAAAATTTTAACATAGACAATTTTTTTTTTTTTTTTTTTTTTTTTTTTTTTTTTTGCTAGAGATGAGAACAAACTCAAAACGAGGAAAAGTTCAAACTTTATATATTAGCACTAGTCAACTTCAAAAATTCACTTATTTATACTGCAATATGAGAGACGCAAAACGGTTTTTAAAAATGTAGCGCATAAATTTCAGAAAAATAAATAAAAAAATAAATATAATAATATTAAAAAAATCTGAAAGCTTTCAGATTTTATATTACACTCCAAGGGGCGTTTTTGTGTTGCCTTTATTTATTAAATATCATGTTCTTCGCACTTAAATTCAATACAACAGCAATATCACAAAATATTTAAAAAGAGCATATCTTTAGAATTTCCGATACAAAATCTCGTGCGCTAAAGATAATTTTTCCCCCCCCCGTACAGTGTTGCCATTGCTCGTTTTGAAATCGTTGAGTTTGTTAATCAAAAATTCGTTAACGTTTTACAAAGTATGAAATGGGCAATGAAACAAATTCCGAATTTGGGCTTCCAGATGCCTGTATTACAGTGGAGGACTACGTTATTCAGAATTTAATGTCTCTAATGTACCGTTGTGTTTTCACAGTGCGAGAAACGTACATTAATTACTACAGAAAGTGATTTAGTTGCACGTCTTCATGTTGTGTTTACGTTGGTGGACACTATGCTGTTACAACGTGTGTAGTCAGCCACTCCACGGCACGCGCATGCATGATTCGATACGTGCAGCGGATATATTGAACATCTTTCTGTGGAAATATATCAAAATATCGAAGTTCTGCACCGGATATGACGTCATACTTTTCTTTTGCATTTATCTCGGAAACTATGGGTCGGAAAGGACATTTTTTACGTATTCCAAGTGAGAAATGGGACATCCTGTGCAAAACATGCATTGCTGTTTGAGATGATTATTAGTCTTTGCTAAAAACTCTCTCTTACCTTTCTTTATTTTTCTAACAGTGATTCATCTGTGTTGATGCAATCACTTGATATAAACACTTTGGAATAAAGTGTATTTACATTTCTTTTTTGCAACTGTTATTGTTTTATTATGCTATTCTATTCATCACTGTGGTATTACCCGAACCACTTTACATGTGATTTTTCATATTCAAGCCTTTCCAATTTAAAACTGTTTCTGAAAAATCTGACTGTTAGGTTTTCCACGATTCTGAGGAACTTAAAAAAGAATCAGATGTAATAATCAACTACAAATTATGCAAATTCCAGATTATACAAAGATAATTATTCATAGCAACAAACAAATTAGAACATTAATGCAATTTACGTAAGATTTTTTTAAAAAAAATAACAATTTATTCGCTGAATCAAAATTGCAAACGCTTTATTAACAACTTCGTTACCACAAAGAAATGTCATTTTTATTGAAACATGACATTCAGAAAAACTGTGAATTTCTAGGAAATCAGAAATAGTAGTATCTTTAACATTTAAGGCAAAAAAGCTGCCTTAATTTGAAGTCTTTTGCCTACTTTTAAAAATCCTCCTTTCATGAAAGAGCAAAAATATTGTATGGAAAATCATTGTTAATTTTCCTCCCTTTTTTTTAAATGACCAGACACTTAAGCATCCATTCAACCCTTCATATATGCCTACCTCTTTCATAACCGAGAGCAATGTCCGGGATGCATAGCAAAGGGCGACCGATATTACACTCGCAAATGGGTGGCAGGAAAATGAGAATACACATACAGTCAAGCTTTACGCGGAAATCGAACCCGTATCGTAGATTTCAGGCTAGAAGTCAATTCGATCCCCGACTTGAATAATATTAATAACAAAAATAATATTAAAATAAATTTTAAAAAATTAACATTCATATGTGAATGTTAATTTTTTTAAAATTTATTTAATATTATTTTTATAACAATATATTTATAAAATAGTATTTTTTTTGCCTAAACGGGCAAAAAATA